GTGTGATCTGATTCATCTGGTACACCAAGGCAAGAACCCAGGATACAAAAAGTCCTCTGTACTTGCCATAAGGTATAAGATCTAATTGAGCTGGTTAACACAAGCAGCCTATGGATAGCAAACTAAAAGAGCACCCTGTAACACACACCCACTGGGGCTTCAGGAGCTGTACACATTCACCCCTAGATGCTGCTGGGGTCAGAGCCCCACAGCCTGCCCATCTGTATTCTCCCCTAGAGGTTTGAGCAGCGGGGCATTGACGAAGGGAGCCACACCCCCATCGCCCTTCATGCGAGGGGGACAGAGGAACCTTTCCCATTTCGGTTGGTGAGAGGTCAGGTGAATATGGTGGATGAGGCAAAACTTCAGAGCACAATTCGTTCAACTTTTGAAGCATTGGTTGTGTGACATGTGGTCATGGGTTGTTGAGAAGAATCGCACCCTTTCTGTTGACCAATGCTGAGTGCAGTTGTTGAAGTTTTCAGTGCATCTCATTGGTTTGCTGAGCATACTTCTCAAATGTAATGGTTTCCCTGGGATTCAGAAAGCATTAGTGGATCATACCAGCAGCAGACTACCAAACAGTGACCATGACCATTTTTTTTTTGGTACAAGTTTGGCTTCTGGAAGTGCTTTGGAGCTTCTTGGTCTATCTAGCCACTGAGCTGGTCATCACTGGTTGTCATATAAAATCCACTTTGCATTGAATTTAACAATCTGATTGAAAAATGATTTGTTGTTGCGTAGAATAAGAGAAGATGACACTTCAAAATGACATATTAAAAAAAATTTTCACTCAGCTCATGAGGAATCCACTTACTGAGCTTTTTCACCTTTCCATTTGGCTTCAAATGCCACACAACTATAGAATGGTCAACGTTCAGTTCCTTGGCAACGTCTCATGTAGTTGTAAGAGGATCAGCTTTCATGGTTGCTCTCAATTGATCATTGTCCACTTCTGATAGCCAGCCATGACGTTCCTCATCTTCAAAGCTCTCCACTCTTTTGCAAAACTTCTTGAACAACCACTGCACTGCACGTTCATTAGCAGTTCCTGCACCAAATGCTTTGTTGCTTTTGCGAGTTGTCTCTGCTGCTTTATGACCCATTTTGAACTCAAATAAGAAAATCACTAGAATTTGCTTTTTGTCTAACATCATTGCCATTGTCTAAAATAAACAGCAAGTAATAAGTCATTAGCAAAAAACACATAAAATGAGAAATGCCCATTAAAATGATGTATAACCTAACCACATTTATTTAAGAATGTATTCCAATATTAAACAGCAAATTACAACAATGTAAAAACCACAATTACTTTTGCCCTCATACTTAGAACCATGCCTGGGGGATTATAAAAACTCAGTAAAGATGTGTTGATTGGATGAATGAGTGACTTTGAACAACTGTTTAGTGTATTTCTAACTTGCTTTCCTTATACTGATATGGCAGTGATGATGATTATATTAATAATAATCATAGTAATGACACATAGTGGTATGATAAGGCTTACACATAGATGTACCTAGCACAGTGCTTTTCACATAAGTGCTCAATAATTTTTATTTGTATTTTTTGAGACAGTATCTGGCTCTGTCGCACAGGCTGGTGTGCAGTGGCAAGATCTTGGCTCACTGCATCCTCTGCCTCCTGGGCTCAAGCCATCCTCTCACCTTAGCCTCCCACGGAGCTGAGATTACAGGTGCATGCCCCTACACAAGGTTAATTTTTTCATATTTTGTAGAGACGAGGTTTTGTCATGTTGCCCAGGCTGGCCTTTAACTCCTGAGATCAAGCGATCTGCCTGCCTGAGCCTCCCAAAGTCCTTGGATTAAAGGTATACGCCACTGTGCCTGGCCTATGCTCAACAAATTTGGACACTTTTTTCTTGTTGTGGATTCTTGCATTGAGACCAATATAAAAAAAATTCTAAAAGAAGTCTTGATTTCAGGATGTTGATTATTTTCAAAATAAGTGAGAAACCCAGGGGTGTAATAAGCACATAGATAGTTCTAGGCTTCAAGAAATAAAACATCTATTTGAAATTAGTCTAAGATATAAAAGTAAGAAACAGAAAAAGATAATGCATGAATTGCAGGATCCAGAACACACTAAAGAGTTGGGGGGAAAAATACATATATCAGTGAGAACAGGACAAGAGAATCAGAGGACGCATCATGGGAGAGGAATGGATTTCAACTTGGGACTGAAAAATTGGCCTGATCTATATAAATGAAGAGGAAAGGAGGTGACAGACTATGGGAGAGGATCAAGGCAAAGAAGAGTGCAGCGTTCAGTTGGAATGACTATGGTATACCCATATGATCGGAAGTTGGAGATGTCAACAAAAACCAAAAAGCAGGCCTTTGGGGGAGGATAGCCTTGCCTATGTGAGAAACCTATCCTTCAGTAAATCTAAGGGACACTGAAAGTAAGACAAAAGACTTTTATTTTGTTGTAAAAAAAAAAAACTATAGTTACTGAAATCGTTTTGAGTTGTGTGTGTGCTGTGCACCCACACACATAATCAAGTGTCATAAAGTCATCCAGGAGTGTTAGAATTAAGAAGCTGGAGTCAGGAAAGCTAGATAGCAGACCAACCTATTTTTCTGTCCTCTTTCACATTTGCTCTTTCCCTCTGCTTTACCATCAGCATGATCATTTGAAGACAGAGACATGATTATGTACTTCTGCCTAAATTCTGATCATCTCCCCTACTTTTCAGGGAGTCAAGTCCAAACTCCTTAGCAACTTATTCAAGGTTGATAGTAAACTAGGTTCAACATCTTTCCTGCCTCATCTCCTAGTAGATCTTCTAAACCTAAACGAGTTTTATAAACTCTGTCCCCCACACAGATACACCAAAATTTTACCCATCCCTTTACACAACATAAATATTTACATCCTGGAATAGATTTCTCTATTAAGCCTCATATGACCTTCAACTCATCTTTCAAGACACATCTCAAATGCTGCCTCTCCTATGAAGCCTTTTCTAACATTGTCCCATCCCTGTGCTTCTCTGAGCTCTCTCTTTTCTCTTTCCATAACAACTTATACATCTTGTACTTGTAACATTAAACTTATTTTGATTTCGTATTTGTATTTCTATTTCTTAGGTTAAATAACGAGGTTCTTGAAGGTCATGTGACTTTGTATCTGTAGTGCTTAGCATGGTAATGGCATATGGTAAGAAATTCATATACTAAAAAGCACTAGAAAAACTTGCATTTTGAGTTTCCCTTAACTTACATTAAAATATAAGTAAATGTAAGCAACTTAAACTTACATGTTAAGTGAAAAAATGGTGTTGCTACATAGAACAATAAGGTCATGTTTAAGAATGAGACTGATTTACAATAGATGGCAAGTTTAGTGTTAACTTCTTAAATTGGATATGTCACAGGGTTATTTGAGAGAAAATATTCTGATATGCTTGGAAATACAAGGATGGCTCTTGAGCTAGAGAACCACACATTGGGCAAGCATATTTTTAGAGATGACCACTGAAAAACATATGAGGAGTGGACTCTAGAAAAAGAATATGAAAGGAAACAAACATCTGATTAGAACCTGGCCTTGTGGTATGATAGAAACAGTGAAGTTACTAGATCAGGAAGCAGTGACCAAGAGTCATTGGAGAGGTGGAAGGAGAATTAGGATGGTGTGATACAGAGGCCCTGGGCAAGAACACATTCAACAAATCAACACGAACAAATGCCCCCAAGTGATCAAGGGAAATTAAGCTGAGAAATATTCAGAATAAAATTGCTAATTTTAGAGTGAGATTTCAGCAGTATGATTGGTAGAGAAGATGTGGAATTCAGATAACAAAGAAAGTTTTTGAGCAGGAATTGGTATTTTTGGCTTTCAGTCATGTTTACAACTTCAAAAATGGGAAAAAGAGCATTGCTAAATATAAGTGCCCTATTTATAGGGTTTTTTTTTTTTTTTTTGAGATGGAGTTTTGCTCTTGTTACCCAGGCTGGAGTGCAATGGCGCGATCTTGGCTCACTGCAACCTCTGCCTCCTGAGTTCAGGCAATTCTCCTGCCTCAACCTGCCGAGTAGCCAGGATTACAGGCATGCACCAGCACGCTTAGCTAATTTTTTGTATTTTTAGTAGATACGGGATTTCACCATATTGACTGGGATGGTCTCGATCTGCTGACCTCGTGATCCACCCACCTCGGCCTCCCAAAGTGCTGGGATTACAGAGAGTTTTTTTAAAATACGATGGCACTGCATTTTAAAGACTGAGTTTCTAATTTCAGATTCAGTTATAGAAAAAATAGAACACTGGGAGTTTGGAAACTCCCAGAATGAGATTTTATTCCCTCACTGGTCATGTATGAAGACTCCAGAGCTTAGCATTTCCTTCACAAACCTTACTTTTCTTATGGGTAGTTGTACCCATGGAAACATTTTTCTATGTATAATCTTTAAAAGAGTTAGACTTTGTGGGTGAGGTATGTAGAAGTTTTGAGAACAGCATTTCCCAAGGTATGTTCAATGGAGCACTAAGTCTGATAGCTGTTATATGAAAAAAAATTACCCGAGTCAAACATATTTTTGAAATGCAAGTTAAAACAGACTCAGACACTCTCTTTACTGCAGGTCCTCCTCAGAACCTCTATTAGTGCGCAACTGTGAATATGAAGGAAGTGTTCAGGGTAGCAGTTGTTTTCAAAACACTTTTGACCAAGGTATCATTTTTGTCGTGAAACTCACCTTTGGACATGTTGAGCAGAATGTGTTTTATTTAATATTTTTCAGCTCCTTTTATCTCAAAGTTAATGTTGCATGATATTTACATGTTACATAATAAGCATAAAAAATCAGTAATAATAATGATAGATACATACGAGAACTGCAAGTTTTTTTCCCTCCCTCCCTTCCTTGGGACTGTGTTAGACTTCCCAGGGTCCACTGGGGATGTTTGAAAGAACTCCTCTCATTGGATGAGAACATGAATGGGGCGGGCATAACCCAAGGGTAAAAACTCCTGCCAAAGCTGCCGAGACGGTATCCTTTTTCTGGATCCCCTTCCACGAAAGCGTGGGAGCTGTCTTTTCACTCTGCCTAATAATCTGCACTTCCGCACACACTCTTTGGGTCCATGAGTTCTATTTAAACGGTAAAACTTACCGCACCTCTGCAACTCCTTTCCCCATTCTTCCGGGGTTAGGAAGATCAAGAACCTAAGCTCCACCTGCAGGGGTGGTTTCTGCTTCTGTGGTGTCCTAGTGGTTAGGACTCCTTGTTTTCACCCAGGCGGCCTGTGTTTGACTCCCAGTATGGGAACCAAGGAATTTGGCTGTAGTGTTACTCTTCTGGTAACCCTCCCTCCTTTCTTTCTTCCTTCCTTCCCTCCTTTATTCCTTCCTTCTTCCACAAGAATTTGAGACAAGTACGTAGAGTATTGTGAAAGCAAGTTTATTAGAGAAGTAAAGAAACGAATGACTACTTCATAGGCAGAGCAGCAGTATGACTGATCGACTGAGTATACTTAGAGTTATTTCTTGATTCTATGCTAAACAAGGGGTGGATTATTCCTGAGTTTTCTGGGAAAGAGATAGGCAATTTCCGAAACTGAGGGTTCCTCCTGCTTTCAGACTGTAGAGGGTAACCTCTGGATATTGCCATGTAGACTTTCATGGTCTGGTGGGAGTGTCTTTTTGCATGCTAATACATTATAATTAGCATATAATAAGCAGTGATGACGACCATAGGTCACTTTTGTTGCCATCTTGGTTTGGTAGGTTTTGGCCAGCTTCTTTACCACATCCTGTTTTATCAGCAGGGTCTTTGTAACCTGTACCTTGTGCTGACCTCCTATCTCATCCTATGTTTAAGAATGCCTGACTTCCTGGGAATGCAGCCCAATAGATCTCAGCCTTATTTTACCCAGCCCCTATTCAAGATGGTGTGGATGCCTATATCCCTTCTTCCTTCCTCCCTCTCTCCCTCCATCAACATTGGGGTTCAGGGTGTCCTCAGCTCCCCTGAGAGGATGTTTCTCCAAGTTCTTGGGCTACTGCCCTCTCAGGAATGAGAGAGGGGACCACAGCACAATGTGCAGTAAATGCCGGATTCAAAAGTGCTTGTTGAAAGTGATTTATTTAAAGAGAGAGAAACAGGAGAAGGAGAGAGAAAGAAACAGCTAACCCTCACACTGAGCGAATCCCGAAATATGGAATCCAGGAGAGGAAAGCAGCTTCTACACTGAGTGGAAGAGAATAGAGAGAGAGAGATGGAGTTTAGGAGGGGAAGACAGGCTTCCACGAGAGATTGTGGAAGGGGAGTCCAGAGGGAATATCCAGGATAGAGAAAAACAGCTTCCACGAAGGGAGAGTTCGTGGAAGGGGACCTAAACATGTAATCTGAAGGGATGTGGAAGAAGGGGACTTTTAACCTGGGAGGAACCTCCATGTTCTCTAAGACCCCAGGCCAAATAGGAGTTCCTTAGAACTTCCGCTGGAGTGATTGATTCTTAGTTTCTTCCCACATCCAAAAAATTCACACATAAACGCTTATATCTCCCATATGGAGAGAGATGGGACGGGGGGCATGGTGCTAGGAAGTTCTTGCCCTTTAAACTACGTCCCCTTGTGGACCTGAAAGGAGAACACCTTCCCTCCCTCCCTCCCTTCCTTCCTTCCTCTCTTCCTTTTCTTTCCTTCCTCCCTTCTTTCCCTCCTTCCTTTCTTTCTTCCATGCTCCCTCTAATTAGGACATTGTTTCAATGAACTCTTTAGTTTTCATTTAAAATAAAGAACTTGTACCAGCGAATTAGATTTCAACTGTAACTATATACTGAAAAAATTATAAAGTAACTCTCAGGAAACATCATTAACAAAATCTCTGGGACTGAGATATCTAAGTTTTCTCATTTCTAGTTTGTAAGCTCTCGTATTTTAGGGCTCTAAATTTCTTTGAAAACATGAGAGTTTGAGGTACTGGCATGCATAAAATTCTTTAGTAAAACAGGAATATTGAATATGCTTTTAACTTTAACACTAGGCATTTCTACGATTGCCTCACACTTTTTTTTATTGGCTATTGATTGCAGTGGATTCATGAGGAGGACATATGTTCTTAGCAAAGACATGTAGGACGATTCTGCGTTACATCACCACCACCCACCTTCATTTAAGCTCTGGAAAAAGACAAGCTCTTCCAAATGTTTCCAATTTTTATTCTGCTTTACTCTCATACAGATACTTCTCTGGAATGTTCTTATCTCATCCACCATGATTTTTCTGTCCTTCAGCTTTGTTCCTCTGCCCTTCACAGAAGTTAAACGATCAGCACATCTCACGGCAGCCTCTGGATCCACATTCCCCATATTGTGCCCCTCACCACTTCTCCTGTTCTTGTGGCAGTTTCCCCTGTGAGCAGAAGCTTGTTTCAGATCAAAGTCACTTAAGTCGCTTATGTTTTCTCTGCTTCTGATTCACAGCTTTTAGCTACCTTGCAGTACTTTTCTGGAATATGTTTGGCCTCCCCAGGTTTGTTAAAGCCACAGAGAAACCCCAGCATCCTCTATCTGAATGATTCTGACCCATTGGCTTTGTGAAACCTACCTTTTGAAATTCAAGGTAAATTGGCCCCTTGCAGTCCGGCATTCCTGTGGTCTGAAACGCTTCTTGATATGCAAGTGTAGCAGGAAGGCATGGGAATGCCTGGGCTGAGCAGTGACCAGTTGCTCTGTGCTGTTCGAGGACTTCAACCATAGTGCAGGCGACAAGAAGCCCTTACGAGAAATAAGGGCTTCTTGCCCTTTCCTGGCCCCTACTGTCTTCCCTAGAAACAAAGATAAAGGACACCTCCTTCCATAAATAGACAACTACTTCAGATGGAGTTAGTCAGACAGAAGTCACAAGACGACTCAAAATACCTATTTCACAGACATAAAATACTCTTAGTGATTGAGATATAAAAGAGTCAGCTTTAAGTGTTTCATTAAAATCATGGCAAATACTACGCATAAGAATTTACCAAGAACTCATGAAGCTGCTTGTTTAATAAATAAAGTTCATCTATAGTAAATGGCTTGGTGCAACCAAAGAGGCTCTAATCAAATTGGGGACAGATGAATTTTGTACTCGCAGCTTATTTCATTAATTTACTACTGTTTAGGGTTCAGAGGCAATGGCCAATTGATACTATTTGTGACAACACTAAATAAAATAAGTAAAGGAAAATAAGCTGCATGATGTATTGCAGAGCTAAGTCACACCCCAGTAAGTGAGAGCTGAAACCCTCCAGCAGAAGCACTTAGCACACTTCATTTGATTCCCATTCATCAGCCTCAGTGCCGGTGGCTCAAAAAGAATGCAAAGGTAAATGAACATCAAAATATGATTTACAGTACTGGAAAAGAGTCCTACCCAAATAAATCAAGGTTCCACTTCATTTCAGGCATTGGTTTATTCATAATACAGGACTTTTACAATCAAGCCCTGCCAATTGTAAACAAACCGCAACAAAACACACACCTGCACTAAGCGATAGGCATGATACTGTGTGTGCATAGAGAACTAAAGAGGTTTAAAAATAACTGCAGCTATTCGGCAGATTGAAAAAGGAAATGGGCAGCACATATTAAAAGACCTTGTTGGTTTAAGCAGTAATGTTGCAGTCTGCTTACATGATTAGGACAGGAAAAGCCACATCCACTTCAGAATATACAGATTTCGAAGTGTTCGACCAGACCATTTGTATACATAGCTTTGTTAAAACTCCTGGGAAGACTATGATCAAGTTCCATTCATATTCAAGATTTTAAGAATTGAGCTAGGGTAGAGATAAAAGAAGAGAGAGGAATAAGAGAAGAGGAGAATCTATTAAGTGGGGTGTCTTCTAAAATGACTTCATTTCATTTTCATTTTAGGCTCCATAAGATTGTAACTGCCACCTTGCTACTGGGGAGCTTTTCATCTGATGTAAACCAAAAATAACAAAGGAAGAAACTGAAGGGTTTCTGCCTTACACATCTCTCTTCAGCTAAATATAAGTGATTGCATATTGCAAACAGAATTCTGTGTTGATTTCTTTTTATTAATAATAAGCCTAAAAGAAAAAAAAATAATTGAAAACAAAAGAAACAAAAGGAAAACCTTAAAATTACCGTGTTTTAGAACTGGAAAGAACTTCCTTATAGAGCATTTAGAAGTCTAATTACCAAATTCTGCAAAAATAATCTTAGGATTTAAATAAATGAGTAAGCCAAGGTCACACCATTTGTTAATGACAGAGGGAAACTCCAGCTCAAGGACTTCAAAATCTTTAAAAAGTTTATGCACAAATATGTTGAAACCTTTATACCCTACAGTTTTTTTTTTTGTGATAGGAAAAATACACAGATAAATGTTTTATGTTCTTACATACCCTGTGTATATGCATGGGTGTGTGCTCACGTGCGTATATCATAGATTTTTTTAATACATATGTGTATGTCATGGATTTTTTTTAAATTTTAGTTTCTTTGCTTTTCTTACAGACTTACAGCAATGTTTTATTTGGTTTCATTATATTCAAGCAATTATTCCAAGAAGCATTTAGCGTGGTTTCCAACATGGAAGTGTCCTCCCTGAGGTTATTGCTGCACTTAAAGGCCTTTTCCCCACCTTCTTATTTGTGTCCTAAGAAAGACATACTGGACCGACTGGTTGTCTGCTTGGTGCCATGTCTCCAAAGGTTGTACATACATTGTGTTTCCCCTAACAAGCCCAGAAAGCAGCTGCCTAGAGAAGCATTTAAAACCAAGTGCAAAGTCTTTTTTATAAAATATCTTTCCAGGAAGAGAATGTAATATTTTTAGTATTTATACTGCAGATACTGCTTATATTATCGAAAGTTAATATTTTATCCCTAGTTGCAGAGGTATTACAAATTACCAAACCTATACAATCATGCTGCCTGAAGTTAGGATTATACATTGCTGAGGTTTAAATAGGTGTTTTCCTAAGAGCAGCATTCTCCATAGAAAACAAGTTTTCAGAAGGAGAGCAGAAACAGTTGGGTTTTCATTCTATTATCATTGAAATTGCACTTCTTTTTGTTAATGATTGAATAAATCAGAATTTCAGGGGTGTACTCTCAGCATTTTCCTCTATTTATTCCATCTGTTAGGGGAAAGCACCAGCATCTTGAGAAATAACCCACTTTATAGTCAAAAAGTATAGTCTGCAAATTTAAGCTGTTTATTGTGGGATAAAAATAACCATAAAACAAACAAGCTTTCCTTGAATATTTGTGCCCCTGGTTGGAGAGCTCTTCCACACCCTTGAAGGCTTTTGGCTATAAAACACCCAGAAAAACAATTTCTCCCAGTCCTAGCTCGTATGTAGGAAGCTGTTTCCTCTCATTCTGATTAACTTGACTGCAGGTTTGCCTGGGGATTAAATAAACTAGCTAACTTCCAGTACCCTTCCCAGGGAGGGAAGGTCTCTTCTGCCTCTTGTCTATTTCAGTGTCAGCCCGTAACACGCAGGCAGGAGGATGGGGATGGGATTGGGGAGCAGGATAACTTGGTGGGAACTGAACACAGAAATAAAACCCAAAAGAACATGGACGCTTTCCGTAGCACTGCTGGAAAATAGGATTGCCACCTACCCCTCCTGGTTCACGTTTCCTCTACCTGTTACAAGTCATTCATTTTTATCACACCTTTAATGAAAGTGACCTATAGAAAGGGTTTTTATCTGGGCTGTGGTAAACTAAGAAAATATAAAAGAACTTAGAATTATAGTAGTTTAGTTAACCACCAAGGAAATAAGAGAAGTTAAGTTTTCATAAGGAAAGATAAGTTATTTTTTAAAGGAATGTTCTAAACAAAATAGTAAAATGTACAACAGGAAGAAAATAGGATTGAGTGTTGTCTCTTAACTATGATTGATTCACCAAATATGCATTCAACATTGAGCCATGTGTAAGCTTCACTTCTTTGTCTTTTCAGAGTTGAAATGCTTCGATTACTGTAAATATCTATACTTCCAAGTTTTACAGGTTAGTAACTTAATATATTCTATTGACCTAGGTTAAATATTTTCCCCAAATTTCCAATGCTTAAACATATCAGTATTTTGAATGACAGAGAGGCTGGCATAACAATTTTGTTTTCTTTCTTCTATTTATCTGATACTAAAGCTTCAGGGGGATTGCTAAGTTTTTCTTCCAAACGTGCTTACAGGTTATTTCCTTGTTTGGCAAGGGAATGAAATTTACCAGCACTTGGGAAAATTCTGAAGTCAAGCTGCGAAACTAACAAAATTTTCATCAGCAAAAACTGAGTTTGAAAAACATGTGTTTCCCCTTTGGTAACAGGAGGATGCGAGGTAGATAGGAAGCAGGATTGGAGAGTTTAAGCCTTCATTATTCTTTCCTGTGTAACTGTTCGGCAGCAAGGAAGAGACAGAAAAGAATGCCAGCTGCAGTGCCCAAAGCAAAATCTTTATGAGAGTGAGTGATGGAACTCTGAGAGCAAGCCAGGTGTCCACTCCTTGATCTTAACACACATTTCTATACACAGAAGAAAAGGAAAGACAAGCCAAGAAGGACAGATCCCTGGGGAACATGGAGAAAGAAAGTAGACTGAGGAATCTTAAGAGGCCGTGGGTCCTTGCAGTGTGTTCATACAGGCATGCTGAACAGTAAGTCCAAGATTATATTTTCATAAAGGAAATAGCATAATTGGCTATTTCCTAAAGTCACCTAAGCCCAGCCCAAAGGATATATTTTCAGGGACAACAATAGCTCAAATTTTTATAGCACTTTATATTATCTTGTTTGATCTCATCTGATCTGCACAAGTCTGTAAGATAGGTTACAATTATCCAAGAAGAACTTAATAGTAGAAAGGTTAAATCACTTTCCCACAATCCAGAATCAGGCTGGCAGTCTGTTGCTATAATTTCCTGTATGAAATTTTACTGAACCAAGCAGATTTACACTAAAAAGGAAAATTCACAGCCCCATTATTCTCAGAATAAACACACAAGGGTTATCTAGCTTGAAACGAAGGAAACATCTTTTCTAAGAATCGATATTAGGAACTTTAAGTAAAATATAGAAAATCGGAGTGAGTGCTCTTTCTGGTGATCACACCCTTAGGGTCAGTTTAGTCCATCCTTGTTACATAAATATGTGGTAACTTTCATGTTCCATTGCTCAAATGTATCAGTCATGACTATCTTTTTACTCCTGGTTGCTGACTTTAGACTGTAGACCTTACCTTTACATGAGAGAGAAAATCAACCATATCACCATCATTATCATAGAAAACATTTAGTGAGGCCTCAATCTGTGCACCTGTTGTTTTGCAAGCGGGTTATTAGACATGGTTCCTGTCCACTGGGATCTTAAAGACAAAGGAAAGGACATACAGACAACTAAACAAGCAATGAGACTTGTACACAGGCACATATGTGCTAGCTCCTATTTGCATATAGAAATGTCGACTTTGTAGATTCAAGTTAATGATGTTTTGCTTTTGTCAATCCATTATGAATTGTCAGCTATTAAAATCTGGCCCCAAGTGGTATCTCAGCACAGTGACTTGCCTGATCCTGCTGTTCTGTTGTGTAGGTTAAGATCTCAATGTTTCTATCAAGCTTCAGGGAATTCTTAGCTTGTAAAGACTGTGCATTCAGGTCACTGATGTTTCAAGAAACAGCTTAGCCAAACACCCATTTTTTTCCCCTAAATCTTAAAAAGTTAGTTTAACAATTAGGAAACCAAATCATCTGCTGGCTTTTCAGAAAATAGAATTTAGGGGAACTTTATGAATTGAAATGAAGCTTAAAACAATTTCTATTTTGAACTCTGATAAACTTGAGACAAAATATAGCTTTCCTTTTTTCAGTTCTCAGCACTATGAGGAGTCTTATTTCTATCTTAGGAATCCTTAAATCATTAAAAATGTGTTATGCTTCATGGCATCATGTGATGCATAAATATGGATAGGAGTAAGAAAATAGGAATATTGCCAATCTTCACCTCTAAAATGTTGTTTTTGATATGATACCTACGCACAACAATGCACTAAGTGCTATACATAATCTCACTTAATATTCACAATTGGTGCATAGAAGAGAAACGATTTTACCATACCCCAGCCTCCCTTTTACTGATGAGAAAATGCTAAATGAGTTGATCTAGACTGCACATAGAGTAATAATTACCAACAATGTTCAAACCACAGTTTATCTGACTCCAAAGTTCATATATTTAATCTGTACCTATCTACTTTATATAATAATTCTAAAAGGATGCATGCCTTTAACTTTTTCTTTCAGAGAAAGTATATCTTTTTGGTATGCATTGACTATTGAGTACCCTAAGGGCAGAGTGTACCACAGGCCTCTCCCTTTGGTGTCTTCTCAGCCCCATCTGTTCCACTAGTCGGCTGCAGCATACAGTCCAGCATAGGTGCTGGCCAAGCTCACACAGGTGAACCTGTCAGGGTCCTTCTCAGGCTCCACAAGGCCTCCCTGATGCTGCTGCATGGCACGTCTGTGCCAATCACACAACTTAGTGTGGGGAAGTTCACGTCTCTTAGGTTACACTTGACAACTGGAGAGCCGGCGCCCACGGAAAAAAATCATCTCCCTTTTATCTTCCAGGTTAATAATTCTGAGATATGTTTCATAAGCTTCCTTGGAGAGTCTGGCAGGATGGAACACCATTTGCCTATAGTGGTGGCCGATCTATTCATGTTTGGTGTGGCTTTCTCTCCTGCATTTCATTCTCTCTCTCATTCCTGTCCGTTGGGTGCCTATTCATAATAAATGGTCTGCATGCAAGCTCTTTTTCCAGTTTATGCATTCCGAGTACTTCAAGCTAAGACACAGGTAATTTGTTTTACTAATTATTATATCCCCATCTTCTAGTAATATATCTGACAGAGTATATATATATATATATATATATATATATATATATGTAATCAATGATGATAAAACTGAAATTTTGTTCTTGTATTTTTACATTGCCTAAAGTGTGCTTGGGTTAAAGGGAGTTAAGAATTTTTTTTTTTTTTCACAATTGAGAAACTGTAATGATGCTTACTTGTTGCCATGGATGTGTTGCCTTGGAAGCTGAGGAATTGGACAGGGTTTAATCCATTCTGGTCATTTCTAGGGGTGTTAAATGGGCACACACATCCAGAAAATGTCTAATTCCTTGATGCTAAAATCAATGTAATCAGTGCTATTATTTTCTAATTGTAAAAGCCATAGTCCTATTACTGAAATTTTAACACAATTTTTATCAATCATTCCTTTTTCCCCCTAGTATAAAGTGAATACTGTAGTAAATTTCTTGCTTTTTCAGATATGGATAATTATTTTTAAGCAACTGGATAGCTCATACTCTAAATTGAAATAAGCCCATCTTATTGATCCACATCCAATTTGTCATCAGATAGAGATCAGCCTTTAAGAATAGAATCATAACTAGGATTAATTAAAACAATTTAAGAAGATCTTGTAAGGGAAGCCAAACAGTGAAAAGCTGTTGAAATTGAACCTTCTCTGTGTTACTTCCTCATCAATGTTTTCAACGCCTGTGGGCTTTCTGGCAATAAAGTGTTCTGGTGTCAAGGATTACAACTGGGCTCCCTTCAAGAGCAATAAATCCACTTAAAAATATGTAAATGTGTTTCATTTACCACTGACCCGGAGGTGAAAAGTTCTATATCAAATTACTAACAGCCTGAGATACCCATTCTTCTATTCTGACTCTAATTAAAAAGGGCTGAAAAACAAGCCATGTATGAATGTTCACTTATAGTACGGTAAAAAAGTAAAGATTTACTAAGTGTTACTCTACACAAAGCTGCAACTACAGCCAACCAGGAGAAAAGGAGACTTCAGTGTTTCTTCTAAATAGAACATGCTTTTCCAATTAAAAAAAAAGATCACAACCATAATCCAAGAGCTTGTCACTTTATGTCAATCTTTTGTGAAAACTTTCTAATTGGATTCCCTGAGTCTTAGAGTTTCCTTCATGGATTTTCATACTGCTGGAGTAACCATTCTGAATGTTGTGATGCACATGATATTCCTATATCTTCAAATTGGCAGTAATTCACCATTGCCCAGGGTAGATCATTCAAATTTTTTCATCCAAGCATTCTAGCTACCTTCCTGATATGGCTGTTAGGAGAAGCAAAAACAAATTCTTCACTGGCATTGAAATGCCTTCTAAGTACATTGTGGCATGATGGTTAATCTCATTTTGTAACCTAGGGGACAGGAGCAGGTTGCAGGGGTGTTCCAAAAGGTGCTCATTCACTGTTCCCCGATCAGATGTGTTTTTTTCCAGGTCCTTGGGCTCTCACTCACCCAAGAATGGGTAGGAGACCCTGGTGGTGGTGATATTGTTCAAGTAAATATTGGACCAAAGAGCTTTGCAGGAAAGTGATTTATGGGGGGGGAAGGGGGGGGGGGAGAGAGAGAGAGACAGAGAGAGAGAGAGAGAGAGAGAGAGAGAGAGAGAGAGAGAAATAGAGCAAGAGAGCAAGCCAGTGAGCTTCCATGCTGTTGTGGGAGGGGATCCAATCCAGAGATGGAGTCCACACAGGTAAGGGGCAGGGTGACTTTTAATCTTGGAGTTACTCCGCCCTCATTCAAGTTCTTGTCCCATGAGAAGAGTTCCCTCAGACTTCTGCTGGAGTGATTGATCTTTGACTTTGATATCTGATTGGCTGCCTGGCTTGCAATAAAGCTCCTTCTTCCAAAGCTTTTGGTGGTCTTTCTAATCAAAGGAAGCTCACCTGGGCAGTCTACCTTACCCGAGTGCACAAACGTTACACAAAGAACTCTAGTTCCTGGATGGGGAGGTGAGTAGAGGTATGGCCACTGGGAAGTTCTTGCCTTTGAAACCACACCCCTTGTGGATCCGGGAAGAGAAGTTAACATCGTCCTTCAATTTCATCTATTTTCCTGCTCTACTGGCAACTGTGAGGCCAGGAAACAACTTTCATACTGTGTTTTTTTACATACACCAGGCATTCAAACAACCTTTTATTAATTGAATGAGAATTGTATCCCATTCAGTTGGGTATTGTTTAGGTGCTGTCCCACATATTTGACCTTTCATATACAGTGGGTTTGATGAATAAACTAACATATTTCAAATTTAATTACCCTGAGAAACTACAATAATTAAGGACAAGAGGACAAACTGAGGGTTGATCCTCTCTGACTTAAGGCCACACATGTGGTTGGTGATACTCTTCAAAACTCCAGGTGATACACTTCAAAACTCTAGAGGCCTCAGCTGCGTTGTAGTGGATGCAAATAATGCCCCTGGTCCTCAGAAGAGGTTCAGGCAACACCTGCTGAGCCATACCTGGCAGCCATGCTGACCTTTACTAGCCTTACAGATTTTGACAAGTTCTTTAACCTCCTAATTTATGAATAGGGGACACTGTGCTTCCTTAAAGGATTGTTGAGGATAAAATTACCTATTATTTCTTCATAGCATTGTTTACAATTAAGAACTTGGTTAGTGTCTAACACTGGAGGATGTACTTTTCATGAATATAAGAAGCATGCCTATTTTTGCTTATCACAAGGGTACACATTTTTGTAATGTGCCAGCTGTTGACAAATATTTGTTAAGGAATGAATAAATGTCAATTAAATTATACAGAGTACCTGGCACATAACTGGAGCTAAATAAACATTGGTGCCTTCTTATCCTTGTTCTATTGTTATTAAAGGTAAAAAATGTCTAGAGAGAGATCGACAGCATTAGAACTGTTTACCACTTAAATCTATCTATATGCTTCTTTACAATTCTAAGAAAATAAGAATATGGGATTAAATATCTCAATGGTCAAAACAAGAAGTGCTGAGCCTTCAAAGCATCGTCTCTGGAATTGATTACATTTGTGTTTGTGACCATGCTCCTAGCCAGGTAACTGAGCAAGTCAGAATTCTTTTGTAATTAATAACACCTGTAGCCATTAGCCACCTTACAAGTTGATGCAAGAATAAATACAACATTTTGCCACTGTGGCAGAGGTTTCTAAATTGTGGCTTTATAGAACTCCAAGGACTTGCAAGCTGAGTAATAAGCAACTGTATCACCAATATTTTAAAAAGCTTTTATGTTTCTCCACTTTATTAATAAACAAAGCAAGGCAAAATACAACAGAAAAAAGTCAATAACATGTATTAATATAATTTTTATATATTTCCTCTTAAAAGGTTTTTCCCCTTCAATTTTTGTTGCTTTTTATTACTTATCCACAGTATATAAATTCTGGGACAGTAACTAATATATGGTAAGATAATAGATCTAGTTACATCAAATCAGATATATTGATGTCTCCTTTTATAACATGATGATCTTAATGCTTTTTCATCACCTGAACAAGTTGAGAAGCTCTACCAAAATGAACCACGTGTTTATAATTGCAATGACAAATGCCCTTTACTTTGAATATACAGATAGCTAGGTTATTCAGGGAGTGACTTCATGGAGATTATGATCAAGTTAAAGAGACAAACCATATAATACACAAGATAAATACTAAAATCAGTGATATTAAATATGACTGAACTACAGGGAATTGTATCAGAATTTAGCAAAATAAGATAGCATTGTAGGGCAGGGTAACCAGGAAAGCTTTGAAGTTTGCTAAGAATTTAGAAGAGCAAGGGAAGGTGGTTGAGCTGAGGGGAACAGCAAGAACCACCATTTTGAATTATTAAGGATCTTTTTAGCTTCCTAATGTTGGAAGGGCTTTATTTTTCCCAGGCGGGTATTCTATTTATATGAGCTATTAAAGTTTTTGGTGTATGTAGATTTTTCCCTTCATTACTGTATATTGCAAGTTTTGTGAAGGCAGTATCTTTTTTAAAATTTATTTTTCTCTCCTACAAGCTAACCTCAGGTCTCAAAACAGCTATCAACTGATGATAAATCTAGAAAGTATGAAAAAGTTAAAACTCAGGCTTAAAAATGAAGATTATTGTTTGCAGTTCTGCTTTTAGTATTTACCTGTGTAAGTTTAGATAAGTTATCTAACTTCTATGAGCCTCAGTTTTTAAATCAATACAATGAGGATAATAGAACCAACTTCATGAAATTATTGATGTGCATAAAGTGCTTAGCAGTCTGATACAAGGAAGGCATTTTTTCATTATTTAAATGAGTGGATTAACAAATAGATGCATAAAAATGTATAGAAATTAATAATATAAAGAATGACTATTTTATCCATTAAATGATAAAAAAATAACAAAACCTGGTAAAAATACTCAGTATATGTCCTAAAAAAGAAATCAGATGGCAAGAACTTCAACAATCACACATATAAACAAGGCAGAGAAAAATATATAAAAATAACCAATGTTGGCCGGGCTCAGTGGCTCAAGCCTGTAATCCCAGCACTTTGGGAGGCCGAGGCGGGTGGACCACGAGGTCGGCAGATCGAGACCATCCTGGTCAACATGGTGAAACCCGGTCTCTACTAAAAATTACAAAAAATTAGCTGGGCACGCTGGCGTGTGCCTGTAATCCCAGCTACTCAGGAGGCTGAGGCAGGAGAATTGCCTGAACCCAGGGGGCAGAGGTTGCGGTGAGCCGAGATCGCACCATTGCACTCCAGCCTGGGTAACAAGAGTGAAACTCTGTCTCAAAAACAAAAACAAAAAAACACCAATGTTAAGTACATTTACTTTTATTTTGTAAAAATAATTTTAGAAGACAAAAATATCATAAGAAAATAGTACTGACCTAGAAGATTGGGAGAAAAGCGGATCAGAAAATGTTAAGTAAGATAATAGAACATGCAAAATGGTAGAATAATACTCAAAAAGGTTTTCAGTTT